TAATCATTTTTGGATGTTTTAAATACCTGCTTTTAACTGATCTTTATTTGCTTTATTCTTTTGTAAATGGCTTTGAGGTTTTTATTACAATCAAGCAATATATAAAAGTGGTGAGGAAAAACAAGGGCCCGACAAAGGGGTGAGTGAGTTTGTCAAATCAGGTTTCTCTCTGTTTCTCATTTTCCCACTCTTACAGCTGCAATTCCCAAAGTGGTTTAACGGTCCCTCTATCTTTCCAGGGACCCCTGGGAATTCTGTGAGGGGAATAGGGGTCTCCTAACAACTCTCAGCACCCTTAATCAACCGCAGCTCCCAGAATTCTTTGGGGGAATCCATGACTGTTTAAAGTAGTATGATACTGCTTTAAATGTATAGTACAGATGCAACCTAAGTCCATTTGATTCAATGGGTCCCCTGGAATAAATGATAGTTGAAGACCACACTGTGCCTTAAACTGGTGATGTAACAAAGCCACAGTTTGTACCAGAAGAAGGGCATTCCATAACCAGGACATCTTAGTGGAGAGGTCTCTCTTTCCAAGTTTCCACATAATGTCCGTCTCTCAAAGGAGGGTCATGGAGAACAGCCTCTTCTATAATCTCCATGCCTGGGCAAGGAAGCATCAGAGGTGATGGTCCATCAAGTATCTAGGTCCCAACCCATTATTACTATCTGTCACTTCCCACAAGGCATTGCAAAGCAACCATCCTAGACATGAAGGCTGAAAACGACTACCCTCAGCCTCAAAAGTACAGTAACTTTGCAGCACCGTGCAGATGAATTAAGCCACTGGGTGGGGTGAAGGATTGGCTTCCATATGCTTAAAAATATTCAATGCAGCGGGGGTGAGGTTTCTGTGTGAACGCTTATGCCTTGCATGTAGCCTCTGAGAAAGTTCCGCTTCCAAAATGACAATAACAAATGTTGGTAACTTTTCATTTCTTCTAGATTTTTTTATTATTCAAAAATGTTTAAGGCACCCTACTGATAGTTCAGCAGGCTTCTTTTTGTGTCTGTAGAGCAGTTGGCTTGCAGCCTCAGCAATGAGCATGTTCCAGGAGAAAGAAGGAAAGAAAGAAAGACTTGAAAGGAAGAAAGTTAGAGATTGAAGTCGTATTTTATTTAATTATTTGCTCGCTCCCCCCCCCCCCCCCGCAGGTTTGAACCAGTTGACACAGTTGGTTTTCCAGCTGGCTTTATTTTAATTAAGGTAATGTATTAATTTAATTTGCCGACAAAGGTCCACATAGTTAAAGCCATGGTTTTCCCAGTAGTGATGTATGGAAGTGAGAGCTGGACCATAAAGAAGGCTGATTGCCGAAGAATGGATGCTTTTGAATTATGGTGCTGGATGAGACTCTTGAGAGTCCCATGGACTGCAAGAAGATCAAACCTATCCATTCTGAAGGAAATCAGCCCTGAGTGCTCACTGGAAGGACAGATTGTGAAGCTGAGGCTTCAATACTTTGGCCACCTCGTGAGAAGAGAAGACTCCATGGAAAAGACCCTGATGTTGGGAAAGATTGAGAGCACAAGGAGAAGGGGACGACAGAGGACGAGATGGTTGGACAGTGTTCTCAAAGCTACCAACATGAGTTTGACCAAACTGCAGGAGGCAGTGGAAGACAGAAGTGCCTGGCGTGCTCTGGTCCATGGGGCATGAAGAGTCAGACACGACTAAACAACAAAACAACAACAAACAACAACAATTGATTTAATGGAATGGATTCAGAGGATGGTCAGTGATATGGGAAGCATGCCCTATGATGAAAGGATGAAGGAACTGGGTAAGTTTGGTCTGGAGAAAACTGAAGGGGGTCATGGCAGAACTCTTCACTACCTGGTGGGCTGTCAGAAGAGGGCAAAGACTTGCAGACTGCCACCCCAGTGGGCAGGATTAGATCTGACAGTCTTAAATTACAGATTATATGTCCAGAAACTTCTTAATGTAAAATTTGACAATGTAATTTACTATCTGCCCTCACCCTGGTAAGCAAACTTTGACAGGTAGGGCAACTCACCTTTCAGTCGCCAGATGTTATTATGATGTAAGACAATTGACAGGTGGTTGTCCTGCCCGCACATCAAAGTCCCTTGTGCAGAGCCCGACAGTCATAGAAAGACCTCTTCACAATACCTCCAGAGCAAATGTCCATAGTTAGCTTGAGGAAAACTAAGCTGTGGGCAAACTCCTTGCCATGAGGGAAAATGCCATGGGAAATAATTTAGCAATTTCCAAAGACAGATTAGATATTAGTAGAAAGCGATGCCAGTAATTGCCAAGAAACTATATCACACTGCCTCCACTGGCCGCCATTTTGTGACTGCACCACTGCTATGTGGTTAGTGGGCCTCAGTAATTTTCAGCCATCTCAAGTGGGCCCTGGAGGCAGAGAGTTTGAGGGTCTAGAGAGACGAGACATCAGGCAAAAGCTCTCTTATCAGATTCTGGGTAGCTTTTCCTTAAGCCATAACAAGTGTGGATACTTTTTGGAAATGTGGGGGTAATTCTTTCCCCCGCAGATGCTTGTTTCTACTACTTTGCTGTTTGAGAGGCTCGGTTGATAATGCTTTGGAATGCAAGTTCCAATCCAGATGTGGAAAGTCTCAGGGCCCTTGTACATCCTCTTGTTAAAACGCTAACTATCAAACCAGTTCCTACAGTACTGAAATGTCCGGTTCTTACCACTTAGACTGCATCTGCTTGATTTCTTATTTTTATTTTGAATTTGTTAGAATGCAGTTCTTTTTTATTTTATTTTTTTTATTAAGGATTTTCTTGACTTACAAAAGTGTTTGCAATGCCTCTCTCTCATATTTTTTTCCCCATGTAACATTTTTACAAATCAGTTTCATTTGTTGAGACATTAGGAAGAAAAGGGGAAATGGCTCCCCTTTATCACATACACAGCCCAACAAGACAACGATAAAGAATGCATGATTTCTTATTCTATTCTATGTTGGGAGCCAGTGTGGTTAGAGTGTGGGCTTCACTTTTAAAAGAGCCAGGCTCAAATCCGTACTGTTACAAAGCTCATTGGACAGCCTTGGCCTTGTCACTATCTTTAACATACCTCTAGTGCCACCACAGACCTTAGCACAGTCAGTTCTGCACTGTACTATTCTGGAATGGAGATGGCAGATGACCTGTTTGGATACCATCCCACATCAAAAATTCCTTATAGAAGGAAAGCTAGCACATAGTGAGAAAGTGATAACCTTATCTCTGACCTACTAACTTTCCATGAGTAGGATGTATATTGTCAGGGAACTGCCATCAGCTCAGAGGCGAGAGGTGGAAGAGCAGTTGTGTTACAGGGAGCCTCTGAAGATCTTGTGAAGCAGTTCTTCCTCTGGCAAGGAGGGAAGCCCCGCCTCCAGTGGGGAAGGGGCACAGGGATCAGAAGATGCTAGGGAGAGCCTCAACAACAAGCCTGAGCAAAGGGGAGGGGAGGCAAGTCCCCCTTTGTCAGCACCCATGTTGTGCAGTAGGTTTGCACGCAGAGAGAGGAGGAGAAGGATGGGGGTCACACGACTGTTATGCTGGGGAAGGTATAAGGACCGCCCACTCCCAGATTCTGCTAGCGACTGAGCAGACATGGACTTGTGATGCTCTGCACTGTAAGATAGTTTGTACAGATAATAAAGCCTGGAAAAGACAGGTTGGACTCTTGCCTGTTTGCTCTCGAGCAACCACACCACCACTTGACATATATGCTTGCAGTTTGTTTGTTTTTAACACCAGGGAACATTCAACAAACTAGACAATCCTCCGTGTGGAGTGGTATGGTCCAAGAAGGGCTATACCACATGCCATTGCTGAACATTTAAATTGGCTGAGTTTGGACTAGAGACCATGGATTCATCCAGATGGAAGGCACCATGGCAAAGATGGATGTTATGAATCATGGATAGGAAGAGAAGCACCAAAACAATGCTCTGAAGCTCCCCAAGTAAGGACATTTCCACTTGCTTCGAGCCGAGTTCTGAACTCACAACCTTCAGGTGTTGCAGACACCTTGCCATAGTTCAAATTGTGGGTGTCCAGGATTCACTAATCTCAAGGACAGCATCTTAATTGCCAGCTCATCCTTCATTCAGTATGCTTTCCTGCTACTCTTCTAAACATTTTTCAATTTGGAACCATTTTATAGCATGGGGGGATTAGACTCAGCTGTTTCAAAGAAATTAAGAAGCTGGTGTAGCAGGTTCATTGAAAAAGTATTGGGGGGAAAGAATAGTATTTTAGATTCTTTTCCTGGAAGGAGATGAAAAACCAGGTGCGCATATATATATATATATATATATATATATATATATATTCATATTCCAAGGTGCAAACTGAATTACAAGATGCCCAGGAGTGCGCAATAGCATTTCATTGTTTAAGTTTGGAATAAAAGACAGATAATTAGGAAATTGGGAGTCTATTAATTTTCCAAATTTACTCATGCAAGAAGCACTGAGCTACGATGATATTTGCTTACCTCGTCATTATGCAAAAATATATTAGCTAATTATTTTGACTAATGCAATTAAGATATGCATATTTAGCATAAACTATACAATAGAAACGTTACAGTCAGCAACTGCCAGGTTGCACTCATGGGCAGCAGAGAGGCAAAAGTCTCGGTGCAGCCTCTGATGGCAAGCAGGAAGATTGTTCCTGCTCTGCCTGAGCCACTCTTATTAGCTCTCTTGCAGTAATTAATTTACTTTGCAGCCAGGCTAGGTGGCACAGCTAGCAGTGGCATTAATTTTGGTTACGTGGAGACACCTGAAGATGTCAGCCTTTGAGCAGCAGAATCTGCACCTTTAATTGCCTTAATCAGTGGAAACACAGTATCTTTCGCGAGGATCCAATTAAGACATTCTGTGTTTTTGGTTTCCTTTCTACGGAAGAAGCTGGCAAGGCACCAGCATGTTGAGAAATACACTCCCCCCCCACTCCTCAACTACCTCACAGTTTCATATCTGGGCCTTTCCATCCATAATTCTTTGGTGGAGAATTCTGTCTAACCTGAAAGCCTACAGACTATGACACAAAGAGATATGGGGGTGGTGGTCATTGCTCGTGTGTGAAGCGGTTGACTTTGCATGAAGAAGGCCTAGGTTCAATTCTGAGCATGCCTAGATTTGTTTAAACTAATCATAATCAGATTAGTAGGTTATGTGAAGAGGGACTGCTAGGTCCATCTGTTTCCAAAATGTCACTTTTGTATCCATTAGTCCATTTCACCTTATTAACATGCATTTTTAAAGCCCATTGAAAATTCATATTTAAATACATATTTTATTACAAAATAGGTACCCATATTTTCCGGCGTATAAGACAACTGGGCGTATAAGACGACCCCCCAACTTTTCCAGTTAAAATATAGAGTTTGGGATATACTTGCTGTATAAGACTACCCCTTTCCAACGCACACCAAATAAAAATTAAAAAAACCAGTCTCCAGTCCGGCTCGGAAATCCACTCCACTTCCCAGTGGCCGGGGGCTTCTGGGGCCAATTTTCAAGCATATTTCTGCTTCATCTAGAGAGCTTGGTGTCCTCTGATTTAATTTGCTGTCGTTTTATCTTTTGGTGGGGAGTTGCTGCAGGAGCTGCTGCTGTAGCCAGCGTATAAGACGACCCCCGACTTTTGAGAAGATTTTCCTGGGTTTAAAAAGTAGTCTTATACGCCAGAAAATACAGTATTTTAAAATAGATTTTGTCTCAAGGTACACTTTAAAAAAAAAAAAGTGTTATGTTATATACAAATATGCAGTTTGGTACTTTTTAAAGCTAAGAACTCTATTGCAAATTTGAGAGAAGGGAGAAATCTGAAGGACAAAGATGCCCTGATCTACACATTAGTCCAGGATGTGCACATCTGGTCAGTCTGCGTTAGGAGCCGTGGAAACTGAACTCCTCAAGAAACTTTAGATGTGAACAATCCTTTGGCTGAGATCCTGGGAAATCATATTCAGCTAGAGAAAGCAATAGTCAGTTAGATGGACTATTTGTCTTGGTACAAACAGAATCTTTTGATAGCTCAGTTGGGTAGAGCGTGGTGCTGATAATGCCAAGGTCACAGGTTCGAATCCCATATGGGACAGCTGCATATTCCTGCATTGCAGGGGGTTGGACTAGATGATCCTCAAGGTCCCTTCCAACTCTGCAATTCTATAGGGGGGGAAATAAGGTGTGCCCTCTTCATCATGTCCAAGTGGCAACAAGAGGGCTGGAATTCCCATCTCAGAAAACGCCATTTGGCACCCCATGTGTTGTCTTTCAGGTGCATTTCTGTTCTCTCAGGCATTTTAAACTAAGTGCAGTTTTCAGAACTGATGAGAAAGGACGCTTTATTTTAAATATGGGAAGTGAGGCATCCTAGATCTGGAGGCTAGAAAATGGGGAGCAATAGAGGCTAAAGGTGCCACCAACCCAAGCATGCCCCCAGCCAGCCCTCACCTGACTGTCAGCTTCTTCCTCTTGCTCCTCCTCCATTTTAGTGTTGCCTTTGTAAAACTCAGCACAGAGAAGGAGGAGGGGGGGAAACTAAGGGCTTATCCACATATACCTTTCACCTCGGTCTTTCCAGACAGAGGTATGTGCTTTAACACTCCCATGTCTGAGCTCTTCCCCTCCAGAGCTTTCCCCATGAAAATCCACTCTTTAAAGCTGGATCGGAGCAAATGCCCATATAGGTTTTCTGTGGATTGACCTTTGCTCTGATTGAGCTTTAAAGAGCAGGTTTTTGCAGGGAAAGCTCCTGAGCAATGCAATGCAATGCAATGCAATAAAATAAAATAATAAAATAGGTACTTGGACACTGAGCTTTAAAACGTGGACGATGCCTGAAAAAAGCAGAGGAAAATGCAGATAAGCCTTTGGTTGGCTTATAAGGCCTTCTTGGCAGTGGCACCCTCCCTGTGGAGCACTTTCCCATCAGATGACAAGGAGGTAAAGAACTACACAACTTTTAGAAGACATCTGAAGGCAGCCTTATATCGGGAAGTTTTTAATGTTTGGAGTTTTATTTTGTTTTTAGTGTTCTATTGGGAGCCGCCCAGAGTGGTTGGGGAAAGACAGCCGGATGGGCGGTGAAATAATAATAATAATAATAATAATAATAATAATAATAATAATAAATAATATTATTGCCTGTCCTTGGCTGTGGCTGCACCTATTGTTGGGTGCAGCTGCTGCTGATAGAGAAGACCATTTAAATGGCATGGTGGAAAGCAAGGTCTGGCTTGGAAACTGCATCTGGCCCACAGTGGCGTTTTCCCCAGCCTGTGCCGCTGGTGTTAGGAAGGTGTTGAAGGCCATCACAACAGGCTGGGACCTTCTTTCCTTTCCATTTTGACGCCCATGGAAATGTTTTGGCTAAGCCTACCCTGGCCATGTGGACTGTCAAATGGCTTCTGCTGTATTTTGTTGTCCTTTCAAATGTTTCTCATAGAGTAGGCTGTACCATCTGGTGGACAATCTGCCTGCAAGCGACAGCATCATACCTAGCTGCGTAGGCAAGTGTAGACTGGCCGAAAGGAACAAGCGTCTGCAACAAGCAGCCAGCAGCAACAGAAGACTCCCTGTGGGTCCCGCCTCTTTCCACCAACATTAGTTGTAGATTGACCCTGTACAAACCAGTAATGATAGTACTCCTGCTCCTAAATATGGGGTTGTCCGCATACTGTGTATGTCTCACCAACATTTCCCCAAACTGGACCCAAAACACCTGTTGTAGATTATATTCTGGATGTGGGTGAGCTTGGTTAAATTATCCATGCCCTGTGACTTTCCATTTGGACAACCGCAATGTGCTGAAAAGGGACGCGGGTGGCGCTGTGGGTTAAACCACAGAACCTAGGACTAGCCGATCAGAAGGTCGGCAGTTCGAATCCCCGCGACGGGGTGAGCTCCCGTTGCTCGGTCCCTGCTCCTACCAACCTAGCGGTTCGAAAGCACGTCAAAGTGCAAGTAGATAAATAGGTACCACTCCAGTGGGAAGGTAAACGGTGTTTCCGTGTGCTGCTCTGGTTCGCCAGAAGCGGCTTAGTCATGCTGGCCACATGACCCGGAAGCTGTACACCGGCTCCCTTGCCCAATAAAGCGAGATGAGCGCCGCAAGCCCAGAGTAGGTCACGACTGGACCTAATGGTTGGGGTCCCTTTACCTTTACCTTTAATGTGTTGAAAATCATAGAATTGTAGAGTTGAAAGGGACCCCGAAGATCATCCAGATCAGGGTTTCCCAAACTTGGGTCTCCAGCTGTTTTGAACATCACCCCTGACCACTGGTCCTGCTAGCTAGGGATGATCGGAGTTGTAGTCCAAAAACAGCTGGAGACCCTAGTTTGAGAAACCCTGATCTAGTCCAACTCCTTGCAGTGCAGGAATATGTAGCTGTCCCTTACGGGGGGTGGAACTTGCAAACGCACTCTAGCCAACTGAAATGAAGCCATTCAGAAACTTGAGCTACACCTAAAAAGCCAATCGCAACCTTAAGCTAATTGCAACCTTAAGCCAAAAGCCAATTACACCTTAAGCCAATTGCAACCTCTCAGCCTAACCTACCTCACAGGAATGTTGTAAAGAAAAACTGTGTGAGGGAAGGGGTCATGTACAACACCGTCAACAGATAAATGGAGTGACATAAAATTTTAGCTGTAAGCTGCCTTGAGCCCCTGTCAGGTAAAAAGGTGGATAATAATAATAATAATAATAATAATAATAATAATAATAATAATATAGAAACTGTGAGAATGATCAGGAACATACTGAAGAGTAAATCCTATTGAACTCAGTTGGAATTAGTTCTGAGTAAAAATGCTTAGGATTGCAGTATAAAGCTCCCAGTTACCTGGGAGTAAGCTCCATTGAATACAGTCAGACTTACTTCTCAGTAGACTGTGCAAGGCTCCATTTACAATAAAGTAATAAACCATTCACAAGGTTTCCTTAAAAAGGGCTTCTGCAATCCAAGAATTTAAAGTGGATTGGTGACCTTTTGCTTCCAAATTATAAAGAAGGGCTTTGTATCGCCAGCGTCACCATTTCCTTCATTTGGTGTATGAACTTCAGTTTCAGTATAAACAGGATTCTGTTTTTGCACCTACACCCACCCACCGCTTTTCATTGTTCTCTGAGGTGTGGAGGGGAGGAAAAAGGAAATCTGGGACATTCCAGGATCAAATCAGAAACCGGGACGGCTTCTGTAATTCCGGGATTGTCCTTGGAAACTTGGGACTCTTGGAGGGTATGGTATTAGATACAGCAATTGATACCATCCATCATCGTAACTAAGAGGATTAGGGCAACCATGGGCTTAGCATACACCTAAATGTGAGGCTAGGAGTGAGCAGCAGGGACGAAGTGCTTTATTAGCATCCCCTTGCTGTTCTACATGGTCTGAAGCATCTGGGGCTGGCCCCTGTCAGAGTCAAGGAACTGGGTTTAATGAACCATTGGACTGATGCAGTAGGACTGTTTTTATGTTATAGTCTCCATCAACAGCTGCTGAGATTTACTGCTGGCAAACCCAAGCAGCAAGCGTCTCTATTCATAGAAACAGAGAACTGGAAATGGAAATGAAACACAGTTTGTCTCCTCGCCTTTGTTCCATAAAGTCCATATGTGGCAGGCCCACTTATGTCTTCCATGTGTTTTGGGGAAGGGAGAGGTAGATAATATAGTCTTCTTCTGTTCATGGCTTTACAATTAGTTCAAGCTGCCAAGGTGACTCCAAGGTCAGAAAACTTGTGTCCATCAATTGACAATGGATTCTCTTAGAAGCTCCCAGACGGTTCACTCGGCCAGTTTATATAGGTTCTGGTCTAGACACACAGCAGAATGAGGCAGCGCAATCCTGAAATCCTGAATATACCACTTCAGGCTGCAGGTGGGTCGCTGTGATTGAATATTCTCCTATATTAAATGGGGGCTGGGTTCTCTGCGGGTAAAAGAAAAAAAGCATTAAAAACTAACATCTCAGTTTATTGTGCTGATGTTGAATCTGCAGGGAAATTTTTATGCAAGAGAACATTTGAAAATATAGAAAAGCTCCCTGCCTTCCGGACTGTACCATTTTAGATTGCATGGGCAAAGTTTCGTGTCTGAATGCCATACCGTCCAACATTTCTCTGATGAAAATTATTGTTGTTGTTTAGTCGTTTAGTCGTGTCTGACTCTTCATGACCCCATGGACCAGAGCACGCCAGGCACTCCTGTCTTCCACTGCCTCCCGCAGTTTGGTCAGACTCATGTTTGTAGCTTCGAGAACACTATCCAACCATCTCGTCCTCTGTCGTCCCCTTCTCCTTGTGCCCTCCATCTTTCCCAACATCAGGGTCTTTTCCAGGGAGTCTTCTCTTCTCATGAGGTGGCCAAAGTATTGGAGCCTCAGCTTCAGGATCTGTCCTTCCAGTGAGCACTCAGGGCTGATTTCCTTCAGAATGGATATGTTTGATCTTCTTGCAGTCCATGGGACTCTCAAGAGTCTCCTCCAGCACCATAATTCAAAAGCATCAATTCTTCGGCGATCAGCCTTCTTTATGGTCCAGCTCTCACTTCCATACATCACTACTGGGAAAACCATGGCTTTAACTATACGGACCTTTGTTGGCAAGGTGATGTCTCTGCTTTTTAAGATGCTGTCTAGGTTTACCATCACCTTTCTCCCAAGGAGCAGGCGTCTTTTAATTTCATGACTGCTGTCACCATCTGCAGTGATCATGGAGCCCAAGAAAGTAAAATCTCTCACTGCCTCCATTTCTTCCCCTTCTATTTGCCAGGGGGTGATGGGCCCAGTGGCCATGATCTTCGTTTTTTTGATGTTGAGCTTCAGACCATATTTTGCGCTCTCCTCTTTCACCCTCATTAAAAGGTTCTTTAATTCCTCCTCACTTTCTGAAAATAGGGACGTCCTATTCAATGATGATGGTGCTTATAATTTTATTATTTAAACCCCACCCATCTGACTGGGTTGCCCCAGCCACTCTGGGCAGTTTTCACAACACCTATAAAAACATAATAAAATGTTAAGCATTTTTAAACTTCCCTATACAGGGCTGCCTTCAGATGTATTCTAGAGGTTGTATAGTTACTTATCTCCACCCCCATCATTCTGCCCAGACACTGAGGTCCAGTGCCGAGGGCCTACTGGCGGTTCCCTCACCACAAGAAGCCAGGCAGAGGGCCTTCTCGGTAGTGGCACCCGCCCTGTGGAATGCCCTCCCACCAGATGTCAAAGAGAAAAACAACTACCAGATTTTTAGAAGACATCTGAAGGCAGCCCTGTTTAGGGATGCTTTTAATATTTAATAGGTTATTATATTTTAATATTCCATTGGAAGCCGCCCAGATAGGCGGGGTATAAATACTATATTATTATTATTATTATTATTATTATTATTATTATTATTATTATTATTATCTCCTTGGCACGGGGGTCGCACGACTCCATACTCTCCAGCATCTCTCCGGTGAAAATGGACCCGTCCTAAGGAAAAGCGGGACATTCCTGTATCAATTCAGAAACTGGCACGGCTTCTGTAAATCCAGGACTGCCCCTGGAAAATAGGGACACAATATCAATAATGACATTAAATCACATGGCATTTGAGAAATGTAAACCTACATATGTTTTCTTTTATTACTTTCCCGTCGCCTTGCTAGTTCATGTTTCAATTTGTCATGCCGCCCTTTTGTTTCACCAGTGCGATTGCCATGCATATTTGTGCAAATGAAACCGACACATTTGAAGAACCCTTTGCATTCAGATTAGT